CCGCAGACACATTCTGACAGCACTTCAGACAGCAGCTTTGTGCCCCGCCAGCTGCTTGTTCCATGCCTACCATGGTGTTTTTGTACAGACAGCACTTCAGACAGCATTATGCTGTAGTCGGCAATCTTCCGTTTTGGTATAGAGTGGGACAGGGAGGGGGTGATGCTACTGTAGTCGAACGGTGGGACGGACGTGCAGTTCAGTTTTTGGGCACGCATACGGTGCTGCAGGGATTTTTAGGTGTACCTCTTCGGGCTCTTGGATACCTTTTTCTCGTTGTATGTGTGCGTGTTCTTTAGATCCTCAGATGGCTCTAACACTTTCGCGACCAAGGGCTGAGAGTCTTTTGCTAGATTTTGGCATTTAGCAACTGACATACGGTTTAATGTGAAGACGACAACAACAACAATATCAGTAGTTGACGGTTTGAGCCCGTCAGGGGGTGCTCCGCGACGGGGGCGTGCCTGTGGTGCCTCTCTGCTGCCAAAAAAAAACATGCTCTGGATAAGAACAATACATACGCAAACGTTCAAAGAATTACCCATTCGAGTTCGAGAAGATACAATTCTATCCCAGTCGAACGGGTGTGTTGAAGGAAGTCTTACTGTGAGTCGGGAAAGGAACCTGCTGGAAACTGGGTTGATACGGAGGCCGTTGGGGGGACTGTTCCAATTATCGCAAGGCGAGGTTCCACGGACCGGTGTTTGCGGGAATTGTACAGTGGTACTGACGTATGTAGCTCCAGCAGTGACCAACACTCACCGCGAAAGACAACTGTTGCAGACTCTCTTCCCCACGGAATGGGTACGATGCCGTCACCGTTGCACCAGCTTGCACCATTAGTTCGTACGGATTGTTCGGGCGTGCTTGAACCTCCTCCTCCTGTTGCTCATGCTGTGTTTTTCCTGCAAACGGTAACCCCTCCCCTCCTGATACCATCGCTGTGGCCACTGCTCCAGCGGGCGGACGAGGACCGCTACGGACGGGGATCGGCGGTGGGTTTACCGCTTCCTTCCGCTCAGGGATCGGTGATGGGGTTACCGCTTCCTTCTTCTCAGGGATCGGCGGTGGGTTCACCACTTCCTTCCCCTCAGGGATCGGCGGTGGGTTCACCGCTTCCTTCCCCTCAGGGATCGGCGGTGAGTCTACCGCTTCCTTCTTCTTAGGGATCGGCGGTGGGTTTACGGCTTCCTTCCGCTCAGGGATCGGTGGTGGCGGCATGGTTACGTTTAGGCGGTATGGCACACGTGTTTGCTGAGCTCGTGCCCTGACCTGAACCAAAATTCCTAACTGCCCTCCTGCCCTCGCAGGGTTCGGTTTGGCAGTTGGGCCGCACTTTCCGGGGTACGTGCCGAGTCCCGAAACACACGCGCACAAAAAAAAATAATGAAAGGGGGGAGAGGGGGGGGCGGGGAAGGCAGGATGTCAGTTGCGGGTTCGTCGCTGGTCGGCGGCTGCTGTTGGGTTGTCCGTGTTGTGTTCTGAATCGCTGTCTCTACGTTGAAGTACTACATGGACCGCAGACTGCAGTCAGGGCTCGAGAAGCGCACCCGCGTGGGCGCGTGGCAGTCTAGGGTATACCGCCTGGAGAGAGGTTATCTGAGCGCCTGGCCGGACGCGGTCAGTGTTGAAGCGAAGCAAGACCCGACCCGGACGGAATGTCTTTTTCTAGACAACCAGGTCGCCGTACTCACGGACCAAGGTAAGAAGGCTGCGTGTCAGTGCTGGCTTTTGCAAGAACGATGTGCTATTTTGAAAGTGTGATGGCATAATCTTGTGGGGACGAATGCATGCACCTCTCGCTGTGATAGTGTTCCTGCTTCGAGCTCTTGCGAAAAGAGCCAGACACAAACTCACTGCTGCAGAGACAACAGATTCCCCGACACGCGACACCACGCAGCCCGCAATGCAACACTTGCACAAAAGAAGAAAAAAAAGCCCTGGTGTTTACCCCCTCCTGTGTGACCCTGGATGGTTGTAGTTGTACGAAACAAAGGGAAAAAATACACTGAAAAGTGTAGTACTCTACATACGCTTAAAGTGTCGTAAATACATGTCTCACCACGAAAAATGGGGGGACTATTTCGTCCTATTATATACTATTGGGACAGCTGTCCCAATAGTATATAATAGGACGAAATCACATACACACAATACCTCATGTTAATTTTTCGAAGAGGGTGTACTTGTTGCCTCCATTATATTTGGACGCACACTAGCTGTGGGTTGTTCTGTGGTGCTATGTCGCTGCTGTTGGTTGGTAGGGCGTGGTTAGACCAGACCCCCGCGGTCTCAACGCAAAGGTTTGCTGCCGCAGGCTGCAAGTTGTTTGTTGTTTTCAGATTCCGCACACACGATAGTCTAGTTGTGCCGAGTTGCGCCGCGCCCAACACACACGTGTTGCAGTTCTATGCAAACCGAAAAACACAAATTCACGCCTCCGGTTTCAGCGGGGACATTATTTTGTCATCCCCCCCCCAGCTAGGGCATGGCTGAGCCCACTTCTTTCACCAACTCGTGCTCCTCACACAGACCTTGACGTGCCACCAAAGTAGACGCGCACGCCAGGCGGGTCATTCCATCCATCGAAAAGCTGGTTTTGCCCTGATTTTGCTCTGAACGGGAGAAATGCCGCACCATGACATGTGGATTGAAGTCGTTTTCCCTCTGCAGCACACGGCTTTTTCAGCTCTCAGGAGGCAACTATTACGCCCAAGGTGCACCTTCTTCGTGAAGTAAATCAAATTGACTGAAAACTGGAATATGCATAGCTTCACAGGTGTTCAACGATTTGCCGCTATGCACTATTCGGGATCGACCCCCTTGGCGATCGGACTTGACCTGCAGAAGTCGACAAAAACGACCGAAATCAACCCTAAACTCCAGTACTCTTACCAGCCGCAATTGGCCGCAAACAAAGAGAAGGGAGACAGCAGACATGTCCATGAGCCTACCTCCAAGTTTCAAGAAAATCAAGTCCTGGAAGCACGCAACAGAACTTCGAGCCAAGGTTGCACCTTCGTGGAGTGCATCAAATTGCTCGAAAATTACAGGGTGGTAGCCTGGTAGGTGAGGAACGATTTGGTGCTATGCACTATTTTGGATCGCCCCTTTTGCGAGATGTGGAGCAGAACAACCGAATTTTCCTCGCGGCGCAACCTCCCGGGGTGTGATTCCATGATAATCTTTTGATCGTATTAAAAAAAAATGGTAATCTTCTCATGTACTGCAACACGTGTGACAACTTTCATGACTGTGTGAAACATCTGGGGAGAGCATGATCGCGTAAGCATACGCTGGAAAATTGCGCTGGCACCGTGCTACGCGCATGTCCGTGCTTCTTCTGTCCAGGCGACAAGAGGTTCAAGCTAGATTTTCCCTGGGATGGCTCGAAGACCCTTCAACTTCGCTCCAGCAATGTCGCGATGAAACAGGCATGGGTAGACCTCCTGCGGGCGACGCTTGATGAGGCCGGGTCCCAGATAAGGGCCACCGGCTCTGTATTTGCGTATGGCGGTGAGTGTTCTTCTCCGGTCTAGACACACGCACGAAATGTGCATATTGTGAATACCCACACGAGTTTGCCATGAGTTTGCGTGAGATTCGACTGTAGGTTGCGTAAGATATCACACCCCCTGGACCGATTTTCAAGGCTCGATTACTCCAAAAAGAGAGTGCCGAAATCACAGGATATGTTTTGGGAAAGCTCTCGACGGCATGGTTGCAACGCCGCCATTTTCGGCGCCGTCACTGCTTTCCTTGCCAAGAAGTTGAGTTTCGAACATCGGTCCAGGGGGGGGTGGGGGGCGCACTCATAGTCGTGCATGCCGTAGTCGTTAGACCATTGACCTCGCATCCCTACAAAGCCGGGACGGAGCACGCCGGGGTCTCACCGGACCAGGCTCTCACATCACCAAGCGCGAAGCGCCGTGAGATATTCGGCGAGNAGACAGTTGTAAGCACTGTGTAACTGCCTCGAGGGTACTTGACCATTTTAGCACAACATGGTGCGATCATCCTNCGTACGGATGACAGCTGCGTATGACTTGATTTATTTTCTGGTGCTTTCACATCCCCAGGCAGTTGTAAGCACTGTGTAACTGCCTCGAGGGTACTTGACCATTTTAGCACAACATGGTGCGATCATCCTCCTTGCGCGGAGTGAGGGTACTCGACCCCGCACAACATGATCTACTCGACCACCATGGTTACTGCCAAAAAAAAAACAAAGGTAAAAACAAAGAAACGGTAACCTGGTTGCCGAGTTCACGAAGTGAGTTGGCTTGTTTTACAATGTCGTTGCCAAGCGACGATAACCCAACCCCGATGGCAAACAACGGGGGGGGGGAGGATGTACTCTTTCGTTTTGCATGCCTTAGCGGTTAGACCATTGACCACGCANGCGGAGTGAGGGTACTCGACCCCGCACAACATGATCTACTCGACCACCATGGTTACTGCCAAAAAAAAAACAAAGGTAAAAACTAAGAGACAG